TTTCGAGGAGCACTTCTTTTAGTTTCAACCGCTTTTGCAGGACGCTTACTTTCATTCGCATCCTTTATGTAGATTTTATGTTATAAAATTATATATAGCATGCTATCTACAAAGTAAAAAACATCATACCTTAAACGAAAAGCAGATACTATTAAAACTCCTGTCACTTTCTGTCAACACCTGAACCGAATCAGCACCAACTCTAACTGTGTCTATTAGCCAAAGTGCATAGCTATTTTACAAGAATTGTTAATAATTCGCTGATGAAAAAAAGTTGAAAAAGAAAAGTAAAATCTTATATGCTGACATTTTACTTTTTTCATCTGTTGCTTTGGGGTTTTCCAGATCGGTGAATCCAATAAACAAATTTAGTACCATCCCAGTCTTGAATTCTTTGTTGTTTTTCGGGCCCAGAATGTAACTAGATTCTCTAAATTCAATTCCAATCTAAATTTAAACATAAATAGTAGTAAATGAGATCCTAAAACTTTTTTGTCGAGTATATCTACCAATGATACGAAATTCTACAATTAGAATACTTACCCCGTGTCCAAGATTCTTGACAAATTTATCCAAAAGATCTGGGCGTTTAGCTTTGACGTATCTAGTCGCCTTCGTGTAAACATCGCAAATCTTAACTCCATCTTTAATCCATTCTAATATTCTTCGTTGGATTTCTAAGAGGAATTCATATGTTTTCTCTTGATCCTATAGTCACAATTTTTAATAAATATCAAGAAATAATTGTAGAAATCTTGATCGCGTTTATTCGGAATACTTGTGAATATAGAAATATATGATAGATAACCTTATTCGGGTTCATTAAAATAGTCCGACCGACATTCGAACAATATGATTTATATCTAACGCCAAGCGAAAAAAGAATCGTACCCTCATGCAAAAGACTCGTGTTTGACTGGGCTGAAGTTCTGAAGTCATATTCACCCCCGCTTTGAATAATTGGTGCATAACATATGTCCGTTCTTTCAAAATCTACCTACATGTTCAACAAGGAATTAAAATATAAAATGTATTCCTTTAAAAAAAAATTCGAAAATATTCCTCACATCCTGCATGCTTTTTTGACTGCTGAGCCATTTATCTTCTTTTGAATACAAAATGTTCTCAACATCTTCCGCCAGTTGTTC